CTTGTTAAGCTTTGCGAAAGTAGACCTCATACATGCAGATTGTACAAGAACTTATTACAGAATCGTTATGAATTTCGACTATTCTCACAACAAACATCTGTAGAAAGTTAATAATAAATGGTAATTTTCGTATGAATCGCTTTGTTGCCAGATGATTAGGTTTCAAACAAAATTAGGTCAGTGGTGTTCATAGGTTTTTTAAAGATTGTTGTAAATCTAAAAGTAAGAGTCCGTTCTATTTCAATATTAATTTTGGACAAACCATAAAATGTACAACCAATGTTTCAAAAGTGTTACAGTCATGTCTTAACTTCATGGCCAAGAACAATAACCAGTTAACCAAGCGACAAACAAACAAAAAATTGTAACTGACTAACTACTTCATCCCGTCAGGTTTGTCGTGAAAATGTTTAAAGTTGCTCAGCCGTTCACAAAATGTTGAGATTTTTTGTAAAACAAACGTTCACAAAAGCCCTCCATTTGAGCCAAAACAAAGTCCAGGGTATAATTTCACATCCTGTACTTCTAAGATACTTTTCGAAATTATTCTTCACCCGCAACGAGTTCTCTTTCTTTGCTACATCATCGCCCTGATAATGGAAGCAGCAAGTACCTCTGTAACGCCGGTAAACTTCTATCAGACTGCACGGCGCTACATCTCAGAAGACAACCATATTCCAACCATCGTTTGTCTCTATCTTGACGGAGTTAAAATTTCTTACAAAATATTTAGTCCAATTCTAAGGCGCTATATAATAATTCTTAACACAAAACAACAAAATCTTCATGAAAGTTCAAGGATAAGGTTTAAATCTGTTCCAACAACCAAAATTTGCATTGACCATCTCACCTTTCATCTACCAATTATTTGTTTTCTTGTGTGCCTGTCTTGGGTCAACTGTTTCGATACATTCGTTGTGTATGCGAGGAACATTGATTTATACATTTCAGAGTAATTTTAGTTACAAGTCTGTAGATCATCTCTTGTATCTTCAACCATAATTTTAGATACACAAGCGAAGACAAGAAAACCACAGATGTACCGAGAATGTCCATATCTGACTTTCATCTCTGTAATTGTCCATATTTCACTGCTATAAATTAACTTTGCACTGCCACTAAATAATATAATTAATTTATAGTTCTTACTAGAATTTACTGTTTTCCTTTCAATTCCTTCAAAAGTTGTTATTTTAGCTTCACTTTTCAGCATGAGACTTGATTTTCTGATTGAATAAGAGAAAATCGAGCGTATTATTGTGCAATTTTGAAACTGTGGGAAGCAATACGCGTGGTTTAAACAATACCGTAGCCTGCAATTTGTCTTCAATCA